AGATGGCTTGTTGCTCTCTTTCAGTTCTGACCTTTAATTTCAGGAAGTACTGTGCTTGACGTCTTCCTCAAGCACAAACAAAAAACAGGACTATGTAGCACTTTAAAGACTAACAAGATGGTTTATTAGGTGATAAGCTTTTGTGGGCCAGACCCACTTCTATTTGATCTGAGGAAGTGAGTCTGGCCCACTAAAGCTTATCACCTAATAAACCATCTTTTTAGTCTTTAAAGTGCTACATAGTCCTGTTTTTTGTTTGTGCTTGAGGAAGACGTCAATGAGTTATGTTAATGGACATGGACACCACAAAAACAAGTGTTTTTAGAACATATTAACATGAATGCTGTGAAAAAATTAACACTACGCTCACTTCTTATGGCCTCTCAGTTTGCTTTCGTTCAAAGCCCTGATCTTACAGCTTGAAAAAAAAAAAAAAAGCCAATGGAACGTGTGCCCCTAAATCATGAACATGATTCTGAAAACCCTACTCATATGTTGACCCATTAATAGGTTGGTCACAAAAAGCTTCAGAGAACACCTCCCCATTCATGTGCTCTGAGATAGTCCCTTGAGAGTATCAGTCAAGGCTAGCACAAAGGTATTCTCCAGTTTGGGCATTTGGCTGTGGAACCACCCAGCACAGAATATAAAATTCTAAATCTGCCTATTTTCTAAAAAAACAAACCTTTTAACAAAATCCCTCCTGCAAGTAATTGTAATTCCTTGTCATGTGTTACAACTCCTTAACATTCACATATGTCACAATGCTCATAGAACATGTGACAGCAGCTAGGCGGGATGTGTAACCTGAAAGCTATTTATTATATATTTTTATTGAAATAGCACCCAAGGAGTTCCAGTAACAGTAATGAGTCACAGTGGGGAAGGAAGGCAGATCATGGAATGGACATGATAAACACCACAGCTTGAAGAACACGTTACAGAACAGGTGAAAAACAGTTACATACCTTTTGTAACTATTGTTCTTTGAGATGTGTTGCTCCTGTCCATTCCAAGTCACACGTATGAGCTCTGTGCACAGTCATCAGAAGGTTTTCCCATAGCAGTGTACACAGATCAGCTGTGGAGATCCCTAGAGCGGTGCTGATTCAATGTGGTGGTATATATAGTCCTCTGCCAAGCCTCGCGGCCCCCTCCCCCCAATTTCTTCTTTCCTGAATTCGCCAACACAGGGGGAGGGATATTGGAATGGACATGAGCAACACATATCAAAGAATAGCCATTATAAAATGTACATAACCATTTTTTCTTCGAGTGATTGTTCATGTTTATTCCAAGTCAGGCGGCTCCCAAGCCATTATACTGAAGAGGAGTTGGAGCTCACCGATCTGCTGACTGCAATACTGCTCAGCCGTGTCCTCTCTTGCTTTATGCTGAATTATACAATAAGACCTAAAAGTATGTACTGAAGACCAGGTAGCTGCTCTACAAATGTCTTGGATAAGGACAGGAGCAAGGAACACAGCTCAGAAGGCCTGAGCCAATGCTGAATGAGTGCATAGCAAAGGAGCTAGAATGGAGATAAGGGGCTGACTACATAGGGCAGGTTGGGGAAAGAGAGGGTGGGTGGGTGCTGGCATCTGTGCAGTGAGACGGAGGCAGGGGTGTTTGACTAGCTGTCTGACTGGGTTGAGTGGGGGAGCAGGCTGGAAGGGAAATGGTGCATGCCGGGACATTTGCATGATTGAATTTCAAACAAAGTTTGCATAAGGTGTTAATGGCTTAAGATAAGGAAGAAAAAGATTCTGTTAACAGAATGTTTTTGGAGTGTTACCGATATCTAAAACTCTGAACTTAACGATTTTTTTAAAAAATCTGTGTTACTAATTAATACATGGTATACTATATTGCATTAAGGCCAGATCTTTGCTTTTTGGTAGAGTTCTGGCTCTTATGAATCAGGAGTAGCATGTATTAGCTTGAGCTGTTAGAAAAGTTGATACATGTACTCCAACGGAGTGTTAATTTTCTTTTGTATTTAATTTCATATTAAATATTTTATGCATTGCTCAGTATTAAATATCCCTTGTTTTAATATACTGCCTTCCACACACTTATGAACTGCTTAAAATTATCTGGTTTTGTTTGTATTGGTGGTGCACATCCACGCACCCTCAATATTGGTAGTGCACATAAGAAAATTCAACCCGCGCAAGGATAGAAAACAGAGTGATATCTGTCCAAATGAGAAAACACCTGCCACAGGGCTGCTCAGAAGTTTTGCAGGCCAAACGCACCACCTATAGCTCCTTGATGTTGATATGCAGGGAAATTTCTGCTGGTGACCACAGGTCCTGTGTTCTGAGTTCAGATGGGCTCCCCAGCCCAATGGAGACATCCATGACCAATGTTAGCGAGAGGTTGAGTGCACAGAACAGAACCCCAGTGCACCCAGTGGCTTGGTTTAACCACCACTGGAGAGAGTTGAGCACCAGTGGAGCTAAGGTGACTACTCTAAGTGGCGACAACCCAGTTTGTAAACTTGAGCCAACAAGGCCTGCAGAGACCTCAATGCAATCTGGTAAAGTGAACTACCTTAGTACAGGCTGACAAGTGTACCACGAGCCTGAGACAGGTTCTGGCCATAGTGGTCGGGAACACTAACAGGCTGTCCGACAGGCTGGCTCAGTCCAGGCTTGTGCCAGGTCCCAGAAACTACCGCAGCAGGGATCCAGAACTGAGTACTTTCAATGTACTTTCAACGAAGTTTTTGTCAACTACTCAATTAACAAATTACAGGCTTCTTAACATCCTAGTGGAAAGCATAGATGAAAGCAAAGCACAACTTGACAGAGGAGTGTGCTAGACCACTGTTCTTGAAGTTCAGTAAGTAGTCAATACCAATTGCACGGAAGGATGTAAAGGAGAGATGCCCCACTCTGACACCCAGCAGGAGAACTTTGTCCACTGGCAAGTAAGTCTCATTGAAGGCTTTCTACTTTCCAGGAGAACTTGCTGGAAAAAATAACTGTACCACAACAGCCCTTATAAGCCATAACCCCGATATTTAACAAAATAAAGACAACTGTCGTATTTGGTTGTAATGTTATTAACTTTTTATTTAATAAACTTTAAAACACCCATAATTAACTAGATCTTATGCTTGTTATTCCTCATTACCCCTTCCTATCTTCAACCCATTTTTATTAGAGATCAGATGCTCTTCTATGTTAGACCCGCTTCTCTTTTCTTCTTCCGTCACACACCTGTATCCTCTCCTCTTAGATCATTTTGTTCTTATCCTCTTCCTTCTCCTCCCCGTTTCACTCCCCCTCCCCAAAGATCTCTCTTTCCTTTGCCTTAATTAAACCCTTCCTCTTCTCTCATTTTCTCAATCCTACAGACACCCCTACAGCTGCAGCTGTTCACTCACTGGTTCATTCAATTTCCTCTCCCCCATTCAGTTAAGAACAGTGACTTTCTGGATGCACAGGCCTTCGGCTCCTGTCTGTAAAAGTGACAGCAACACATGCACTGCTACTCAACCGTCATTCCCTCTCATTCTTCAAGAGTCCTGGAATGTAACTAAGGGCAATGCTCTATACTCTTTCTAATGTTTATGTTCTTTAAACTTAAAAAAATCCTGTAGAAATATACCAGTGATTGTTTTCTATTAAATTGCAGAAGATGTTTTTAGGAGGAATCTCTCTATGATGAACTGATTACATCTCAGGGTGTATTTATCTATGGACTTGGTTATGTCATTTTACACACAACAGGACTTAAAGTGAATCTTTAATTCTGCTGATGGTTCTATTCTGTTTCTTTTATATCACATCTATAATATTAGCATAGAGTTCTCTGAGTTTATGTGAGTGTGACTGAACCATATCTGTTTCCTGACATCCTCAGTGACACAGACTTCTAGCGTGATTAATTGAGACTGATTTTTCTTTTGATGTTTCATGCTCATGCCATGACATGCTGGATAATGCACAAGAGATGCCCTGTTGACAGAGTGAGAAAGAGCTATCCTAAAGATTCTTTTCCACACATCTAAAGGCTCTCTCTTTCTGCTAGGAACCATTAGCCCCAAGATGACCTCTGCTAATGATCCTTGTCCCACAAACACTATGCCAACAAAATTTGTCCCTCCGTTTATGACTGACAAAAGTTATTATCTGAGGGACAGTCCACGGCAAACACCAACATCTACCAAAGTTTTCAAACAAGCTAAGAAGAAATAGTGAAGAGCAGCTCATCTAAGTGAGATCTGGTCAGAACAGTTCTGTGGCATGCTGCCATGAAGATCTAGAATATTTCTTATCAAGAACTTGTACACTGTTAATATTGCTAAAAGAACCATTATATTTCTCTCGAGTTTGTATTCTCCACAGGGATGGGCATCAGTAGAGTAATAGCAAGGCTTTCCCCCATAGATAAGTGTGATAGGAGAAAGTCATCCTTCTGGAATCTGTGGAGTACCATGGAATCTGTGGAGTCCTTCAGATCAGGCTCCTTCTCGCTCATGATGCCTCAGAAGTCTTTTCTTGGAGGGAAATCAAGAGATTATCTATACAGCAACTTAGTGAATAGCAAGGTGGACTGTAGCTGTGCAGTGCTCTAAATTCCATAGTATACTTTGACTGCCAGCTATTTCAAACTGCAGTACAACAAAGCACATTAGGGACCTTAATCTAGAGCACAGAAAAAAAGCCCACGTGACTGCTTAGTACCTATCAAAGTGTAGTGCTGCACATTTACACCCCAGCTTGCCAAACATTAATTCTTCGTATAGACATGCTCTAACACTTCAACTCAACAAGTCATCTCAATCAGAGCATATTACTGCTGTCTCATGACAGTGAGGACACTATATTCATCATTTGAGAAATGCAGGTACATCCAGCAAAGCCAAACACATTAAACTAAAAATACTCTACAATCCTACATAATACTACCTTTCATAATACTGTAAATACTCATTTAAACACTGTGAAGAGGAAGACTTATACAGCACACACAGAGCAATTTCTTACCTAGTAAAGTAGTATTTCTAGTTCAGATTCAATAATCTGGAACCGTGGAGTTAGAGGCTCAGCATCCGTCTGTCACAAAAAACCACACAGGATCACTGTGCTTTTCCTTTCTTTCAACTTTGCAGATAAGACTTCTCTAGCTTAAAAGAAAACAAGTTAGGTTAAGCCTGTTCTCATTTTTTAAGTGAAATTTGGAACTTTGTTAAAATAGAATAACAATTTTAAAAGTTGTAGCAGATCTGATTTTTTTTAGAAATATTTAGTTTGGATTTTTATTCATGAAAATGTTCAATTATTTTTTAATTGACTCAATAAGGTAGTTGGGATTAAGGTGATGAATTGCTGCCAAAATTGGTGCAGGTGGTTTTTATGTAGCTGAGGCATGTGCATTATCTTAGGGTACGTCTAGACTACATGCCTCTGGCAACAGATTAGAGTACCGGACATAGTAAAAAGAAGCGGCAATTTAAATAATCACCGCTTCATTTAAATTTACATGGCTGCCGCGCTGAGCAGACAACCAGCTGATCAGCTGTTTGTCCGTTCAGCGCGCTAGTATGGACCCTCCCCTACCGACAGCCTCCTGGGATGAGGCATACCTGGGTGGTCGACAAATACCTTTGATGTCAGCAGGGGAGCATCCAGACTATTGTGCTGAGCCATGTAAATTTAAATGAAGCGGCAATTATTTAAATGGCATGTAGTCTAGACGTACCCTTAAAAATTCAACTAAGTTATGGAAAATGCATGAGACATGCGTCTTGTAAAATTTAGCTGCTTGTCATAATTCCTATGTGCATTTAAAACAAAAATATTTACATAAACTGGAACTGTTTTTCCCAAAATCCTTTGCATGCTGGAGGATTTCTGAGATCAAATTCTTATACATTCAGAAAGTTACCAAAGCTTTAAAATATCTTAGGGTACGGGGGAAAACAAAGATAATCAGAAACAAGAGTTATTTGTAGTATACCATTATCACTTTCTTATGACTAAAAATCCACCACTTGTTCCATATTCAAACTCAAGAATGGCTGCACAGGTTTTTGGTTGTTGTTTTTTTTCTTATGATGTTAATTTTGAAGGCTCATGCTTTATCAAGATCACAAGTGAAATCACCTTTAAAAATGTTACAATAAAACTCCCATTGTCCGGCATCCAGTGGTCTGGCACTCCCAATAGATCGGCACCAACTGGAACCCTGAAGTGCTCCGGCCAGCCAGACAATTGGAGCTGCTTCCCCAAGTCCGCTGCTGCCGCTGCTGAAACTGATCAGCTGCGGACCTGGGGAAGCAGTGCAGAGCAGAGCAGCTGGTGTGCTACCGGGTTGGTCCCGCAGCCCCACTCCTCACCCCCCTGCTCCCGCAGACGCCACCACCTGCG